CAGTGTCAGTGTCAACATCACAACACACACCAGAGTCCACATCACAGCCATCACCACAGTCTACACTAATGCAAACAGGTACGTATCCGATTTTCATTGCAACAACACACACCACACAATATAACACAACACATCTCAGAAACATCCCAAAACTCACTCACTATCACACACGCAATCACATGCACTCGCAAACACATGCACTCGCAAACACATGCAAACACACACACCCACACAAGTAGGCTTAACAACATTCGACCATTTCACAACACAAATACTACCATCTAATACACACACACACACACCATCCATCTCACTCTCACTTCCAAACGCCTCAACCCTATACACACTCACCCAATCACACTTTCACTCTCTCACACACTCACTCCTTCTCGCACTCACTCAGTCACTCACAAACTCAATCAATCACTCACCCTCTCTCTCACATACACGCTCTGCGTGTGTGTGTGTGTGTGTGTCACACGCACACACTGTCTCTCAGTCACCACGTCGGTCACTCAACCAACAAGTCAATAATTCCATCATCCAGTCTGTAAATCACTCGCAACACCACTAATCCAAACCTTGTCTACAACTCTCATCCACTATCTCTCTCCCTCTCTCTCTCACACACACACATTGATTCACTAATAACAACAAATACACACACCCCATTATGCACACAACTACTCACCACTCACTCATCACTCATCACTCATCACTCCTCAATCCTCACTCCTCACTCCTCACACTACTCTCAATTCATCTCATGCATTCTGTGTCGTCATCATCCACACATACAAAACACACTCACTCTCTACACATTCATTTCCCACTACTCCTTCTCAACAGGTGTCCATTCCGATTCCACATCCATTCCACCAGTCACCGACATCACTCATTCAACTCAGTCTGACCAAACCACATCCACGTCACACTTGATCGACACCACGCCAACAATCTCCACTACAGCATTCCAGTCGACAGAATCAACCACACTGCAAACACCAGTCTCAACTCCTGTGTCAGTGTCAGTGTCAGTGTCAACATCACAGCACACACCAGAGTCCACATCACAGCCATCACCACAGTCTACACTAATGCAAACAGGTACGTATCCGATTTTCATTGCAACAACACACACCACACAATATAACACAACACATCTCAGAAACATCCCAAAACTCACTCACTATCACACACGCAATCACATGCACTCGCAAACACATGCAAACACACACACCCACACAAGTAGGCTTAACAACATTCGACCATTTCACAACACAAATACTACCATCTAATACACACACACACACACCATCCATCTCACTCTCACTTCCAAACGCCTCAACCCTATACACACTCACCCAATCACACTTTCACTCTCTCACACACTCACTCCTTCTCTCACTCACTCAGTCACTCACAAATTCAATCAATCACTCACCCTCTCTCTCACATACACGCTCTGCGTGTGTGTGTGTGTGTGTGTCACACGCACACACTGTCTCTCAGTCACCACGTCGGTCACTCAACCAACAAGTCAATAATTCCATCATCCAGTCTGTCAATCACTCGCAACACCACTAATCCAAACCTTGTCTACAACTCTCATCCACTATCTCTCTCCCTCTCTCTCTCACACACACACATTGATTCACTAATAACAACAAATACACACACCCCATTATGCACACAACTACTCACCACTCACTCATCACTCATCACTCATCACTCCTCACTCCTCACTCCTCACTCCTCACACTACTCTCAATTCATCTCATGCATTCTGTGTCGTCATCATCCACACATACAAAACACACTCACTCTCTACACATTCATTTCCCACTACTCCTTCTCAACAGGTGTCCATTCCGATTCCACATCCATTCCACCAGTCACCGACATCACTCATTCAACTCAGTCTGACCAAACCACATCCACGTCACACTTGATCGACACCACGCCAACAATCTCCACTACAGCATTCCAGTCGACAGAATCAACCACACTGCAAACACCAGTCTCAACTCCTGTGTCAGTGTCAGTGTCAGTGTCAACATCACAGCACACACCAGAGTCCACATCACAGCCATCACCACAGTCTACACTAATGCAAACAGGTACGTATCCGATTTTCTTTGCACCATCTCACTTAACTGGGATTTTTTTCACGTTTTTCTCGTATATATTTTATTCCTCTTTCACTGTTTTTTCATCTCTCCTTGGTTTCTCATATTTTAATATCTTATTATTATTTTTGCTCTACCATTTTTTACATATCTATTCAACATTCTCTTGTATCCTCTCTCCATCTGGCACATGAGACACAATACTCACCGATCACTTTATATCACGATAGAGAACACGGATGAATCCCTTGGTCGTTCATTTGGAAAATTTAATTTCTCGGGATACGTACAGAATGCTGAGCTAGTTTACAATACAGTCCTATTAGTCATTCTGTAGGTTCAGGGCATGCAGAGCTTGCTCTTCTTCTTCTAAATCATATATTTTTGGTTGCCTTGCAATAGAATGAATACAGAATCTATTAACATCACCAATTTTTAACCCCGTTAACCATTTCATAATTGAATTTTCCGCCCTTGTTCATACATATATACAGTCAACTTTTAAACACTCAAATCGGAAAACTCATATCTATTTCACACACATTTCATCTCTCACTATCAACCCAATCTGACCACAAAAGTCTTCAAGCTAATGCACACTAAAGCACACATTTACTTGTTACACGGTATTTCCTAGTATCTTCCATATCTCATCAATCTGTTTCCGTTTCGTCAGTTTTTTATGCGCTCGTGCACTCATTTCATTTGCTACACATATACTTAGTCACTGTTTTTCATTTTCAAATAACTTCTATGTTTTTATGTATATTTAATCTTAAGCAACGTGTTTGTTCAAATTTGTGTATGCTCGTAATTGTGGACCGTAATGACCATCTGTCTCTCACGTCTATGTAGTCGAGTGTTCGGCAGATTTTGATGTTCACAAACAATATCCGGATAACGGTATCTTGACCTGTTTCACAGAATTCATTTCACCCATGATTATGAACACTTGTTTATTCAACTTCGTTCTCCAGGTGTATCTGGTATACCGGACAGTTACCACCTCAACACCGATACACTATACTACAAATGTTATATATCAATTTACAACTTCGTAATTTAACAGCTTGACTAACATCTACTCTCCTCTTTTCGAATTTAGTTCCACATAATTTGTCGGCATAATTGCTTTCCCAATTACCCAGTCTGTCTTTGAACTAACCGCACACATCTATCTACGATTGAACAACACATGTACAACTTCACAGACACACAACTGATAAATCTGCCTCTGGATTTCCCCTCTGTGTGTGAGCATGAACGGCAAACCACCCTCAGATACACACTTGTTCACACGTTCAGGACCTGTCTGTCATTGTCGAAATCTAACTCACACTTATCCGACAGTCGCTCCTGTCAACGATTTACTCCATACCATCAATAATCTACAAACACGCTCTCACACTCTCACAGTTCGCCGTCTCTCCAACACGTTTGAACAAACGTTCACTTACTCAATCTGCATCATCATCACCAGCACCATTCTGCCTCCATGTTATTAAAACCTATTTCTACATCAAGCCCTATGTCTCACTCTCTACCTCTCTTCACATTATTGTTGACGTACATTTCGCACGATCTGGAAAACGTTGACAAGCGCATTTGCATACAGAGCTTGAATGATAAGTCCCGTTGTTCACTTATATTAGTAAAATGCCACGGCAACATAATCCAGTCAAATTTATTTTCCCTGTTGTCAATCCAAATATAAGATGTACATCGTGTTCAATCGATTGAATGTAAATTTCCATTCTTTGTGGTGGTCTAAATGTACTTCTGTGAGATCCTTGTCTTCTGAATAGTTTCTTATGTGCTTAATAAGCACATCACGACACACTAGTCTTTCTGTTAACAAGATTTTGTAGCACGAACTTTAATAAAATTATACAAAATAACAAGAACACTGAAAGTGAGATCAAATTTGGTGCTAATATATTCCGCGAACAGTATCATGGTCATCATTTAACCGGAAAGACATGATCCAGATCTCATTTTCGGAGCCACAAATAAAAAATAATGATTCATGCACAATGTATTGCATACACGTATTGTTTCAATAAATATCTTTTCCCAAGTTTGTTGTTTTATGTCGGAACTTGAGGATATGTGAAAAGCTGTTTGTTTTACTCACTTTCAGCTCCGGCCTTCGAAGTAAAAGGATTGTTGTATAAGGATCAAGGAGCGAGACCACACATATGGACTGATGATTTGCTGAATCCACTGACTGAAATCTATCAAAACCTGTCACAATCATTCTGTCGATTAGTAAGTTTACCCTTTATCAGTATTCATTCCAATCTTTATGCATTTAAGATACGATTTTAGTCACTTAATCTCTTCACACTCCCACTCTCCAAAAATTGTATCACACCTCATGGAAAAAACCGTCAACCTATATCTCAGTATTTGTGTAGTGGAGAGTGGAGAAAAGAAAATGTAGTGACCAATTTGTCTCACTTCAATAATAATTCTAACATATTGAACATCTCCCATCGAACAGATTCTTCACTATGTTCTAACACAATTCTGTGTACGTAAGCATTATATCAACTGGTCAGTTGTTACTCTGTTTCAGCTGTTTAAATACAACAGTCAGTGGACCATAAAATGAACACTCGGTTATGTAGAAGATGAGACGACTGGGAACTTGTTTACACCCACAATAGAACCAAATCGACATTTGGACATTTGGGATAATAGCTCGTATTGCTTATCATTCGACTCACATACTGACAACTGGTAGAGTGTTGTTGTCCGTCATTATGGTTGTTTTCTTCCACTGACTTAAAAGCCATCTCCACAAACGGGTATGCCTTTGAAGAATTATCATAACCATCTCAACATTTAGTATGAGTGCCTGCGTTTGTCATGACTGCTTCGCATATCAATGCTAAAGTAATTTTATTTCAAGCCGTCAAGAAGGGCGCGGAATATTCTCAATCAATTATGAAGTAAAGAAACCGAAACTGAGAGTGAACAACTATCAAATAATTAAAGTTATGTTCACTGTTGCGTACAGCGAAGCTACTACAGTCGTATAAGATGCAAAATAACAAGACTAATCACAATTCTCTTTTTCCCCACTCATCAATGACCAGGTTTTAGATAGTTTACGTTTGGGCAATCCAGATATTGCAAAAGATGCAAAATGTCACAAGGTTGTTTTCACACCAGTCACTATATTCTATTATCAAAAACGCCAAGTCGATGCAACAGGGAACTCTAGTGAAAACTCTACTCAAGGTGTACAGGCGAGTTCAGAAATACAACTCGTGTCACCCAATGCAACAGAACTTAATCAGACGGAATTCAACAACATCCTCGTAACAGGGTACAGTCAAGTGAATTCGAGCAGTGAATTGCACTTGTCCAATGTAGAAACTAACGGTAAGTCAAGTGATTTGATTGTCTCGAGTTCGCACTTTTGTATATCGTGTCCAGTTTCGTTTGTTAATAAAAGACGAGAGGGAAACATACGAACACACTGTAAATTGATTTGTGAACATAGAATCAGTTAAATTGCGCTAATGATAATTGCGAACACTTATCTTATCGGATGAAAACGGTAAGTGAAGAGACCCCGAGCAATTGAGAATACAAGTCGGAGTTTAGTAGATGGAGAGAAATAGAGATAAGCAAATGAGGTAACTCGTACAAGAGAAACATAAATCTCAACAACATATCGACAACGTCCTCCACCAAGTGTTCATCAGTCTTCATGACTGTATACTGTCAATTGAAGAATTAATACTGGAAAACGTCTATACTGACTGTATGATTTAAGTGAAACAATTAAGGGATTTTCATCATGAGTTATGTAGACAATCAATGTTTTAGTTAGAATACAAAAACAAGATTGTTGGACAATATCTGTCATAAGAGCCAGTTCAGTCGTAGCCTATTGATACCCAAACACATATTATTATGATGAGTAGACTGTATCACAGAACACGATAATAAATAAGTATTATGCTAAACTATTACATTATGAGCCTTCATGTGTCTGCGGTTATGTGGAGAAGTCAACAAAATGGATTGCGATGGACAAAGCATGAATATGTGAAAATACATGTTCCCTATCATCCAACACTCCAAATACGTATTCTACATAGTTCATTTTCTTTAGAAAATTGCTTGTCGACTAACGCCATTTTACCCAGTAATAGCTCACTCACTCACTCACTCACTCATCGACAAAATTAATCTTCTCTTACATTTCTATAGTTGTTACACCCGACTCTACAACAATGGTCCAACTCACACAGACCAGTATACAAACTCAGTTTGAAGAGTTCACCACCAACCAACACGTCATCAGCACTGAATCACAAATCTCAACAGAATTATACAACTTCTCATCATTAGGTGAGTCCTTCATTTCTTCATTATAGTGCACCGTTATACATTCATTACAAGCTTCATGAGTAAGATAATCGATTCGGAAAATATACAAAAAAACATATATTAAGAAGACAAATCACTCGAAATAGGTTATATCTATAAAGAAAATCGAAGCAGATAAAAGATAGAGCAATACAGCGAAAAATGTCGCATGTTACACATTACAGAATAAAATAACACGAGGTAAACGATAAAACAAAATAAATGAAAATCACATGGTGAATTAAATGATGAAAAAACACATCAGACGAATCTCAATTCAAATCATACATAATATGTCGTTACCAAAATGCAACACACTCACTCACTACACAATCGTTTCCCACTACTCCTTCTCAACAGGTGTCCATTCCGATTCCACATCCATTCCACCAGTCACCGACATCACTCATTCAACTCAGTCTGACCAAACCACATCCACGTCACACTTGATCGACACCACGCCAACAATCTCCACTACAGCATTCCAGTCGACAGAATCAACCACACTGCAAACACCAGTCTCAACTCCTGTGTCAGTGTCAGTGTCAGTGTCAGTGTCAACATCACAGCACACACCAGAGTCCACATCACAGCCATCACCACAGTCTACACTAATGCAAACAGGTACGTATCCGATTTTCATTGCAACAACACACACCACACAATATAACACAACACATCTCAGAAACATCCCAAAACTCACTCACTATCACACACGCAATCACATGCACTCGCAAACACATGCAAACACACACACCCACACACCAATAAGCTTGACAACATTCGACAAATATCACTCGACCATTTCACAACACAAATACTACCACCTAATACACACACACACACACCATCCATCTCACTCTCACTTCCAAACGCCTCAACCCTATACACACTCACCCAATCACACTTTCACTCTCTCACACACTCACTCCTTCTCTCACTCACTCAGTCACTCACAAACTCAATCAATCACTCACCCTCTCTCTCTCCGTCTCTCTCACATACACACTCTGTGTGTGTGTGTCACTCGCAATAGAGGATTATTTTTTCTGGACAAACGTAAACCAATACTTTTTACTTCTTAATACATATAATCGATGTCAGGTAGTTGATAGTTATAGCCTTAAGTAAATGTAACAAAACCGGAGTTTGGTAGCTTGATATTTGCCCAGAAATATGTCCATGTATTCTAGTGAATGTTTTACATCAATTCTATGCATAAAAATCATAACATCCATATGAATTGAATACTATCAAAGCTGAACGCAAACAATGCAAGGTAAGAGACAAGAAGATGTGCCTACATAAGCGAAAAAATGACAAGGTCAAAATGTGATTTGAGAAGAATGAATAGATTGATCTATCTAAAAACTGGAATAACCAATATGGGCTGAACATAAGACCAGTCACATCATGGTAACTGAGTTGTTTATTGTTTACATGGTAATTGAATCTCTTAGCTTTGTTGTTCATTATTTCCAATCTGCTTTTTCTCTCGTTATTTCAGTCATCTCTAATGAAACTACAATATCCACCGAAATGTCAACAAGTAAATCCACCGAAAATAAACTAGATATTTCATCAGTAACAACATCAACTCCAAAATTTATGTCCGTCGTTACCAGTCCAGAATATAATTTCATTAGTGATGGTATATCTTTTGAAGCTTTTGAAAATACTCTACCTCCATTATTTGATAGTGAGTTCTCTTGTTCTGTTTGTATGTTTGTTTTTCTTTTGGAAAAAATATTCCCATCATTTATGTGATAGAATGTTACATATTTAGGCGTGACTATAATTTGTGGACGAACCAATCGGAGTTGAGATAACAGATTGTAGTGGCTGTGCTTCGATAATTAATCACCCTCGAACCGTTATCGTATAATCTTCAACTATGTTTGAAATCAGAAGGCGAAAAGAAGCTGCTACTACAGTTTATTTAGTAGATAATTCGGGCCAGACAGCAGAGAGGCAAAATGAATGAGCAAGCGAACTACGATTGTAGTGTAGTGAACAAGAACACGGGTGGGGACAATCGACTGTATTTAGCACAAAGATTACAGACTATCTGAATAAAATGTGAATACCATAAAGTCAATCGTCAATTTGCGAAATATTATTCGATCATATCAAACTGTACTGTTCCCGTTGCAAACACTAATCCATTGTCGCCCATTCCATTGTACATAAGTTTTCTTACCATTCCATTGTGTTCTTGCTCTTCCTTTCTTGAACTTCGCCATCATCTGCTGCCGGACCTTACGTTTATTTAACGCACGTTATATACTACTTATATGAATATAAGTAGCTCACACCACAGTAGCAGTAGCAAGTAGTTGTAGTAGTTAATGGGTGCAAATGTACACATATATATATGTATAGGAAAATGGATGAGTCAGCGAATAGACTGAGCAGTTAATAATGAAGCTAGCAGAATGAATACATGCGTTGGCGCTAAACAATGTTCAAGCATATGTATTTCATACAAGCATAATAATGATGATAGTACAACAAGTTGTTATGTCATGGATCACTTTGTCCATTAAATAGGTCAACAAAAGACCTTGACTGAACTAAACTCGATTGCACGTGAGTCACTATAAGATCTTGGATTTTGGTGCGAAATTCATCCATCCATTTGGTTAAATAGCGTTTACGCATTTCCGCTAATGTCAATTCGTGATAAAAGCCATAAATCTTACGCTTAACCATAACCATCAATTGTAAATCATAATGCTATTTCCTTACACTGCTTTATAACCATCGTCTAGTCCTAGTTAGTAGGTGGACATTCTGAAGGTTAGTTTAACGTCGCACAACAATCTTCTATAAATTATAGTATCACCATTCAAACAATAAAACAGTATTTAGTTATTTATTTCAATCGATATAATTGAATACATGTATGATATGATAATTATCCTTGATGTGATGAGCATAAATTAGTGTTGTTAGTGGTCCAATATATCTTAATCCAGCTAATTCGTATTTTGACTGTTACTGAAATCAGCATTCTATCAAGCATCGTATATTTTCATCGATTTAATTCCACGTTAGAGAATAACGGAATAGAATATGTCGAATACGAAAATGAATTTTGAATTTGTATATATTTTGCACACTCACTGATTCAGACGGACAATCTCAGACACGAATTGAGAGAGGTTAACCGAAATGAAACAAACCGAAACATAGTGATATGCAGCTTAGATGGCAAGTGAGCCCGATCGTTTTGATCAGTCGTTACTTAATATCTATATTCAGAAGAAAATAATATAAAAACAATTCATGAATACTGTTATGTCCTGATAAGAATAATAAGTAGCAAATTTGGGATCCATTTATGGACCAATACTATGCGTTTATTTTTTCGTATAATTGTTATATGACTAAATTATTCATATTCATATTCCTCTCATTATAAACTTTATTTTGACCTATGAACCATTATCATAAGTCATGCCATTCTTGAATTGTGCCATAAGCCATGAAATAATAACAGGTCTCGGATCTCGTCACGAAATTCAGTCATCCATTTGACTAAATAGAGTTTTGGAATTATATCTGATGTCAGTTGATGATGAGAACCGTAAATCTTAATCCTAACCTTAAACATTAAGTATAATTCATAATTGCAATTCCTCACACTGGTTTGTAACCCTCATTTCGTCCTAGTTATTTTAGATGCACACTCACAAAATCACTTTAGCATCACTCAAAGGCCGTCCTTAGATTATAGTCTCACCAAACTACTTCATTTGTAGATGATATTTTAAACCATAAACGCATCATTACTATTACAGTTTTATAAGAAACAGCCGTTGGTATTCAGAGTTGAAAGTTGATCACCGTAATTGTTGGCATTTCCTTGATATGGTCTCATGATGATGGATTGTAGCGAGCTGCGAAATCTAGGATATGAATTTCATTCTGTTTAGTATTCACCAGTTGAATGTACCTGTATTCGAACACTGATATTCTCTCATTGACACGAACTCATTATCTTTCGATTTAAACGACTAACTGATGTGAACGGGGAAACAAGAAGCCCTGACAAACTACGAAAGCTATTGATCGGGACGTTATTTCATTTTATTCAAAGCTTGCAAAACACTGACATTTATATTTGTCCCTATTTTATTCTATAGGACATGAGCTTTCGCACGATATATCATTCATTGCCATGCCCCTTTTTGTTCCGAGGCTATTGTAATTTAAACACAGTATTTTGCACTTTATTTTCTACCCTAATTCCCAGTTTCGGACATAATTGTATTTTTCCAAATTATTGTACGTTGTGGTCAGGTAAATCACCTATTTATTCATGTACCTTCTTGCACTATTCTGAATTCGGAGATTTCACAGGAAATCAGGATATCGCAATACAGCTAATAGTGTTCCAACTGTCTTATCTTCTCTTATTTGCGTACTTGCTAGCCCATCACATGCTAGAATAGTTCTCTTCTGTCTACCCCACCTCGAACTCACTTGTGCTAGCCTCAAGATTAAACCGATCGGCCTATTGCGTCAAGATCTTAATCTAGAGTAGACAGATCAAGGTCATAACACTAACTCATTATATTTTTAAGTAATTCACTATCTAACTCGACTCGTCAGTTTGAACAATGCATTTAGCATTTAAAGAAAGGGTTGGTGGTTTTAAGTGCCAGTGTGGAAATTAACTCTGAGTTGCTGATATATTCAGCTGTTGAATCAATAATAAAACTAAATGACAATCCTATCATTCTATTACTAGTGATTATCCATCTACTCTTAAAAATTACTGTATATTTCTCCGGCTGTATATATATATATATCTGAAAGTATTTGATATTCCAATTTCTACTTCTCATTTAGAACCTACGATAGGACAAATTGAGGCATTAATCTGCAAAGAAGAACCATGGGATTTGATGGAATGGTCAGATAATTTAAGTATACCTACAAGTGCACTTTATTTAAATTTATCATCACAAATTCAATATCTGGTAGGTATCGATATTAATTTTTTGTATTTTCAAATTGAATATTCAAGGAAATCATCATTTCTAATTGTTTTTAGAGTTTACTTCAACATATTACTTAAGATGATTTATGAGTAATAAGCAAGGACTCAGTGGCTGAGTGGATAACGCGATGGCGTTTGTAGCGATTGGTACTGGGTTCCAGTCACAGAGTGAACATCAACACTGAGATGTATGTAAATCCTGCTGACGAGTCCTAAATAGAACGAAACGCGCGTCCTGGATTCCACTACTAGCCACTATCCATCATTGCTTACGAAAAGCTTGTGAATTAAGGTAATATTGAGGCACACGCACAGCATGCACATATGCCAATAACAGACTGATCAATCGCAGGCTTAAACCTTAATGGGAAGATAAAATCCAAACAATACCAAGTGAAGCAAGATTATGTTTGTCTGATATTTACTACTGACTGGAATATATCTATAAGGATGTTATGTAACTTTACTTGTCCGATATCTGACTCCATTTGGTTCGTATGAATCTTATTGAAATATACATATCGTCAATCCTTTTATATAATTATCGGCTTAATCTTGGTTAATGAATAACGGAATTAATTAATAATTCAAATGCGAGAATGGATTTTTGAATACGTATATTTTGTAAATTCACTGACCTGGACAGACAGTGAGACGGACGAAGTGAAGAGAAGAGAGCGAAGCAAAGAAGAAGGCATATGAGCCAACTTGATTTAATCAAGCGTTAATCGATATTTATGGTCGAACAAAATAAGTAACAGGCACGTGAAGAATAGGATAAGAAGTGCACACACATACACTCATATAAAATCAGTCAAGGTTGATAAGTGAATAACTGACAAGGTCAAGATGTGACTAAAAATATGAATAGATTGGCCTATCCGGAATTCAGAATAAGCTATATGAGCTGGTATAGTAACCGATACTACATAACCATATCACGTATAAACTATAGCATAATCACTAATACTTCAGTTTATACACGTTCAAATTTAATGAGCCATTCATGGCATCAACTATTTGATTACATCTTTAAGTTGTCATCACCATGCTTCTTAGATCAGGTATGCTTGATCACTTGTTACAGCTCATAAACATTTCCTCTTATTAGCCTAAAGTGGTAGATGATTCAGTCTGTTGCTTATATTTACGTGCTACTGAAAATTTATTCATTCATCCATTCTCATTTTCGTTCGTATTTGCTTCATTTTCTTGGGGGCTTCGTGAACTGTGCTGTACGATAGAAGACTGAAGTCAACGCTTAATGTAGTCTTCTGAAATTTATACACCGTAGGAGATATCTACTAGAAGTAATCGGGACGAACGATGTATGAAGTTGAAGAATTATGTTTAGGACATCCCACTGCATCTCGATCTCGAATGAAATAACATTGGTTATGATTCAGCTATTATTCAATTCTAAATATCAAAATTCTTAAGAAAGTTGATTGTTCCACCGATAGTTGAGTGACTATGGTTCGAATCATACAGGGAGCATCAATTCCATCAGTATTGAAGTTAAGCCATGTTGATGAATAACTACAAATTAAATTATCTACGATCATGATAATGTGGTGAATATGTTCTAATATAAACATACTGTTGTAAAACAGGCGTCATGCGATTCGCCTATGATGCTAGAAATCTCCGGATAATTTAGAATAAATAACTTTCCTATTTTTTCATGGACTGATATATTTTTAGTATAGGGGTAATTATTGGAGATCATTGAAATCTCATGGTATATAAACGACAAAACGTGAAAGCTCTGGGTAGCTGTTTCGTCCTTAAATGTAACTCTTCAGTACTAATAAATCCACAAACGCACTACAAGAAATTGATTTCAGGACCGTCAGACTTGCGAGCGAATGCTCAACATCAGACCACTAACCTTGAGTCCGACGGTGTGAATGCCTCACTTCGGTACATTCACGATATGCGGCTTTGATTCTTCTACTATTCTCATAAGCTTATTTTCTTTATTTAAAAGTAGTATTGAACAAATTTGATGTTCAAAATCATGAGGGTTATTTTACGACAATGTTTTGACGGCACACATTAAGGTTTGGTATATTGTTTTATGATAATCAGTGATTTAATAGGAAGCATAAACGTTTTGTATTTAATCCACTTGATATTGTTTTACTGGAATCTTCCCATTGTTGTTTAGGATTGAAATTGACCAGTCACTAATTGGCAAATGTGCATACTGTGTGTATTGCATCGATATACATCTTTGCTTTTTGTATTTAGTTTTTAGTTGAATTATTTAAAACTGATCGATCATTTGAACATTTGATTGCATAACTGAAATATCTTTTTCTTTCCTTAATGATTAGGTTACTAAAAGTGTACAATTAGCGAATGTTCAAATTTCATTCTCGTTCAAAATTCTGAACGTCACGTTCGAAAAAAAAATGATTCAACTTGGATACATGGAAAACTTTCGAATAATCGACTGTATCCTAATGAAAATGACGGTGGAAATGAGATCATTGGAAGCTTCACTACTAACCGATAAGGAATTAACGCAGATTTTCATTGAAGGATGGAAAAAGTTGAATGTTACGAGTGGACCATATTTGGTTGACATTGAGTTCACTCGTAAGTTGATAATATCATATTATGCGAAAAAACGTCTTCTGATAGACTGTAAATGTCAGCTCACTAGTATATTAATTTAAACCATTCCCTCATGTTCCAGTGAGAATTCGTGACCAGTAAAATTAGATCACGTCAGAAGTAGAACAATTGTGTAGAATATCAGGGTAGGATAATCATTTTGTAGTTCAAATTGATTGAAGTGATAATTCTAGCAGTAGACATCGAGTCAATCATCTTGATAGTTACACATTCGTCTCTAGACTCGAAAGATTTGGTTTTGATCCCAATTTAAGTCATGAATGTACACTGATGTAGCTTATTCTACGAGGATTGAACATCATTCAATTAATTGCTGACATTCAGTTGTGCATTGACAACGATTAATCTGTGACGAAAGCAACCTAAATATTAAAAATCAGTCTTAAGTAAATCCAACTTTTCAATGGAAATCTGGTCTGAGTATGCGAGAGAAATATGAATATATAGGAAAATTATCGAATACATAAATAGAAATATAGTTCTCCGGCTAATTCAGAATTGAAAAAGATAATACAATATTATTAATAACGTCGAAAATAAATATCTTCCGTAGTAAGTACACGAATTCTAAAGCTGATTTATGAAACTGCGTATAATAAAACAGGACAAAGGAGAAGGTGAAAACGATGAGCACATTAAGAAATAATGGTTCTCATGCATTCGATAGAAACACAACACAAACTATCCAACTAATATTGCCACCACACTCACCACTCATCTCACTCTCACATCCACACGCGTCAAACATCAACACAATCAATCACGCTCGCACTCATTCAATCAATCAATCAATCAATCACTCTCTACATCTCTGTCTCTCTCTTCCTCTCTCTCTGTCACACAAACACAAACACACACACACTGTCTGTCAGTCAACACGTCGATCACTCAATCAACAAGTCGATAATTCCATCAACCAGTCTGTCAATCACTCGCAACACCACTAATCCAAACCTTGTCCACAACTCTCATCCACTATCTCTCTCACTATCTCCATCTTTCTCACACACACATTGATTCACTAATAACAACAAATACACACACCCCATTATGCACACTTCTCCTCACCCCTCACTCATCACTCCTCACTCCTCAATCCTCACTCCTCAATCCTCACACTACTCTCAATTCATCTCATGCATTCTGTGTCGTCATCATCCACACATACAAAACACACTCACTCTCTACACATTCATTTCCCACTACTCCTTCTCAACAGGTGTCCATTCCGATTCCACATCCATTCCACCAGTCACCGACATCACTCATTCAACTCAGTCTGACCAAACCACATCCACGTCACACTTGATCGACACCACGCCAACAATCTCCACTACAGCATTCCAGTCGACAGAATCAACCACACTGCAAACACCAGTCTCAACTCCTGTGTCAGTGTCGGTGTCAGTGTCAACATCACAACACACACCAGAGTCCACTTCACAGCCATCACCACAGTCTACACTAATGCAAACAGGTACGTATCCGATTTTCATTGCACCAACACACAACACAACACATTATGCCACAATTCTCATAAACATCACTAACCTCATTCACTCACTAACACAATGACTCACTCTCACAGATGCACGCATCCACACACACACACACACAAACGATTACCATAATACTACCAATACCACTCCACCATTTCGCAACCGAACTACTCGCTCTCCCTCTCTCTCTCCCTCACACACACACAAACGACTTGTCAACATGAAAACACTCGAATCGCAACACTCTCACATGCAACACACACTATCCATCTCATATTGCCACCACACTCACCACGCATCTCCCTCTCACATCCACACACGTCAAACATCAACACAATCAATCACGCTCGCACTCATTCAATCAATCAATCACTCTCTACATCTCTGTCTCTCTCTTCCTCTCTCTCTGTCACACAAACACAAACACACACACACTGTCTGTCAGTCAACACGTCGATCACTCAATCAACAAGTCGATAATTCCATCAACCAGTCTGTCAATCACTCGCAACACCACTAATCCAAACCTTGTCTACAACTCTCATCCACCATCACTATCTCTATCTCTATCTCTCTCAAACACACATTGATTCACTAATAACAACAAATACTCACACCCCATTATGCACACTTCTCCTCATCCCTCACTCATCACTCATCACTCATCACTCCTCACTCCTCACTCCTCACACTACTCTCAATTCATCTCATGCATTCTGTGTCGTCATCATCCACACATACAAAACACACTCACTCTCTACACATTCATTTCCCACTACTCCTTCTCAACAGGTGTCCATTCCGATTCCACATCCATTCCACCAGTCACCGACATCACTCATTCAACTCAGTCTGACCAAACCACATCCACGTCACACTTGATCGACACCACGCCAACAATCTCCACTACAGCATTCCAGTCGACAGAATCAACCACACTGCAAACACCAGTCTCAACTCCTGTGTCAGTGTCAGTGTCAGTGTCAACATCACAACACACACCAGAGTCCACTTCACAGCCATCACCACAGTCTACACTAATGCAAACAGGTACGTATCCGATTTTCATTGCACCAACACACAACACAACACATTATGCCACAATTCTCATAAACATCACTAACCTCATTCACTCACTAACACAATGACTCACTCTCACAGATGCACGCATCCACACACACACACACACAAACGATTACCATAATACTACCAATACCACTCCACCATTTCGCAACCGAACTACTCGCTCTCCCTCTCTCTCTCCCTCACACACACACAAACGACTTGTCAACATGAAAACACTCGAATCGCAACACTCTCACATGCAACACACACTATCCATCTCATATTGACAACACACTCACCACTCATCTCCCTCTCACATCCACACGCGTCAAACACCAACACAATCAATCACGCTCGCACTCATTCAATCAATCAATCAATCAATCACTCTCTACATCTCTGTCTCTCTCTTCCTCTCTCTCTGTCACACAAACACAAACACACACACACTGTCTGTCAGTCAACACGTCGATCACTCAATCAACAAGTCGATAATTCCATCAACCAGTCTGTCAATCACTCGCAACACCACTAATCCAAACCTTGTCCACAACTCTCATCCACTATCTCTCTCTCTCTTTCTATCTCTCACACACACACATTGATTCACTAATAACAACAAATACACACACCCCATTATGCACACTTCTCCTCACCCCTCACTCATCACTCATCACTCATCACTCCTCACTCCTCACTCCTCACACTACTCTCAATTCATCTCATGCATTCTGTGTCGTCATCATCCACACATACAAAACACACTCACTCTCTACACATTCATTTCCCACTACTCCTTCTCAACAGGTGTCCATTCCGATTCCACATCCATTCCACCAGTCACCGACATCACTCATTCAACTCAGTCTGACCAAACCACATCCACGTCACACTTGATCGACACCACGCTAACAATCTCCACTACAGCATTCCAGTCGACAGAATCAATCACACTGCAAACACCAGTCTCAACTCCTGTGTCAGTGTCAGTGTCAGTGTCAACATCACAACACACACCAGAGTCCACATCACAGCCATCACCACAGTCTACACTAATGCAAACAGGTACGTATCCGATTTTCATTGCACCAACACACAACACAACACATTATGCCACAATTCTCATAAACATCACTAACCTCATTCACTCACTAACACAATGACTCACTCTCACAGATGCACGCATCCACACACACACACACAAACGATTACCATAATACTACCAATACCACTCCACCATTTCGCAACCGAACTACTCGCACTCTCTCTCTCTCGCTCACACACACTCAAAAGACTTGTCAACATGAAAACACTCGAATCGCAACACTCTCACATGCAACACACACTATCCATCTCATATTGCCACCACACTCACCACTCATCTCCCTCTCACATCCACACACGTCAAACATCAACACAATCAATCACGCTCGCACTCATTCAATCAATCAATCAATCAATCACTCTCTACATCTCTGTCTCTCTCTTCCTCTCTCTCTGTCACACAAACACAAACACACACACACTGTCTGTCAGTCAACACGTCGATCACTCAATCAACAAGTCGATAATTCCATCAACCAGTCTGTCAATCACTCGCAACACCACTAATCCAAACCTTGTCCACAACTCTCATCCACTATCTCTCTCCCTCTCTCTCTCACACACACACATTGATTCACTAATAACAACAAATACACACACCCCATTATGCACACAACTACTCACCACTCACTCATCACTCCTCACTCCTCACACTACTCTCAATTCATCTCATGCATTCTGTGTCGTCATCATCCACACATACAAAACACACTCACTCTCTACACATTCATTTCCCACTACTCCTTCTCAACAGGTGTCCATTCCGATTCCACATCCATTCCACCAGTCACCGACATCACTCATTCAACTCAGTCTGACCAAACCACATCCACGTCACACTTGATCGACACCACGCCAACAATCTCCACTACAGCATTCCAGTCGACAGAATCAACCACACTGCAAACACCAGTCTCAACTCCTGTGTCAGTGTCAGTGTCAGTGTCAACATCACAGCACACACCAGAGTCCACTTCACAGCCATCACCACAGTCTACACTAATGCAAACAGGTACGTATCCGATTTTCATTGCACCAACACACAACACAACACATTATGCCACAATTCTCATAAACATCACTAACCTCATTCACTCACTAACACAATGACTCACTCTCACAGATGCACGCATCCACACACACACACACACAAACGATTACCATAATACTACCAATACCACTCCACCATTTCGCAACCGAACTACTCGCTCTCCCTCTCTCTCTCCCTCACACACACACAAACGACTTGTCAACATGAAAACACTCGAATCGCAACACTCTCACATGCAACAC